TTGGCTAGGGGTTGTAGTAGATGAAGAATTTAGTGACAGATGAAGCTGGAAAGATCATTTGGAATCAGATTATGGAGAGACTTAAATGCCAGGTTCAGAAGGACAGGAGATGCTATCCTTCTGAGTCAGCTCTGAGGTGAGCAATTCAATCTGTGTCCACTTCCTGCCACTTTGGGGGAGGTTTTAGCAGTGACCTGGGGAGCCTCCCTAACTCTCCACCAGGCTCCTGGCTGATGTGAGGACCGGCATTGAGACACACATGCCGAGAAAGGCAGGTTGGCTTTTCTGGGTACTGCTTTCATCTGCATTTTGGCCAGAATTAAGCAGTGCTGGTGTCTTGCTCTTGTGTCTACTAGAAGTTTCTGGGTCTCAGATAAATGAATCATGGAAGACTCTTTGAACTCCCAACCCAAAAGCACTCCCCTGCTACTGGTCCTGCAGAATATCTTGGAAATGTTCTTGTGGTGGACAGGAGCATAAGAGAATTATTTGTTTGCAGAAACATGCACACTTTATGTAAAAGAGCAGTGCTACCAACTGAGAGAGCGAGAAGCTTGATCTTAGAAGGACTCCTTTCCTTTTCTTTTCTTTTTTTTTAAACATTTTTTATTGATTTATAATCATTTTACAATGCTGTGTCAAATTCCAGTGTTCAGCACAATCTTTTCTTTTCTTTTCTTTTTTTTCTTTTCTTTTCTTTTCTTTTGAGATTATAGCCTCGTACCTCCTGGGACTAAAACAGTATTGATGATAGCTTTGGTTTCTAGAGAAACTGGTATTTTCTTTCATTTTTCATGATGTTTTGTACCAGAGCTAGAACACCTCTCTGGTGGTTGCTAACAGGTGAGGTGATGAAAATCACTACAGCATATGGAAGGCACCTTTGTGGTCATTTAAGTTCATTGTCTATAAAAGTTAAAGCAAATGTTTTGTTTAATAAGTATTCTCTCTTCCTCTCGATTCAGTCAGAGCAAACATCTTTGTATCCTTTGTGCCCTCTCCTGTCTTCTTTCTGGATGGTTCCTGCACATATTCAGTGCCTCAGGAATGGTGCTTGAATGAGTGAGTGGGGACCACTCTGACAGAGAGAGAGCTAGCTTTGTCTTTGTTTTGCTTCCTATAAGAAGAACTATTAACGTGTGATTTCTGTTCAATCATCCACATACTTCTAGGGACCAGGTAGAATCAGATCTGATATTTTTAGGACTATTGATCTTGGAGAATCGATTAAAGGAAGAAACAAAACCTGTCCTGGAAGAGCTCATCTCTGCCCGGATAAGGACCGTCATGATCACAGGTATAGAACAAGTGTGTGTGAAAGCAGGAAAAATTTGATGGGGAAATAGACAGAAATGCACTCATTCAGCAAATACTGTTGACTCCTTACTATGGACCAAATACTATTCTAGATACAGGAGATGGGCAACAAAAAAGGCAAAGTTACTGCTCTCATTGAGTTTCATTCACGTGGGATGAGATAGAAAATCAGTCAATCAATCAATCAAATAAACAGCTGGCAATAATATTATGAGATACATAAAACAAAACGAGTGATGTGGTAAAGTGTATCTGACCAGCTACTTCAGATGAGGTGTCCTTTCTGAGAGGGAACATTTGAGCTAACACCTGAATAAGAAAACATGAGCTGGGCAAACATGATGGTTTCATTCTTTTCTTGGGGGGGAGGGGTAGTGGGAGGATGAAGGTAATTAGGTTTATTTATTTATTATTATTAATTTTTTCTTTTAATGGAGGTTCTGGGGATTGAACCCAGGACCTCGGCATGCTAAGCATACGTTCTACCACTGAGCTCTACCCTCCCAGCTAAGATGTTGATTTTTATTGTTAAATGTTAGAAGAAGAATGCTCGGTCAGCATGGTCTGTAAACTACACTGAAGGCCCATCAATGAGATCTACAGTTCTGGAGATAAAAAAATGCTGTCCCCTCTCGTCTTACTCCCAAACCCCAAACTGCAAACAAGGGAGCGGTGAGCAAGGATCACACAAGAGAAAGTAGTGAAATTTCTTTTTTTTTTCTGTCATGAACTTTTATTTTATTTTATTTTGTTTTATTTAACGTTTTTTTACTGAGTGATAGTCATTTTACAATGTGTCAAATTCCAGTGTGGAGCACAATTTTTCAGTGATACATGAACATACGTACATTCATTGTCACATTTTTTTTTCACTGTGAGCTACCGCAAGATCTTGTATATATTTCCCTGTGCTATACCGTATAATTTTGTTTATCTAGTCTACATATTCTACATAATTTTGAAATCCCATTCTGTCCCTTCCCACCCCCCGCCAAATACAAAACAGAAACAAAGTCATAGACATAGAATACAA